CCATAATATTTTTGTCCGATAGTATAGTTGCCCCGCGATATTCAATACAAGTCATTATATGATATTTATTATGAAATATAATGTTTTGCAAACACAACAGGGATTCCGAAGTTCATCCAAACTTACGGTTCAAACACTGTATTGTTGTTAAATAATTTGTATTTCAAATTTTTAAATATTTCTTACATTTTCCCATTTGTTTGTTTTGCTGACAATTATTTTAAAACATTATAACTATTCATATAATGAATTTATATTTTTATAGCTTTTTTAACATAAATTTATTTTTATTATCATTCATTTCTTGATAACCATCAATCGTCTAAATTTTTTATAGATTTTTTTTGGATCCATTGGACCATATTTCCAATTATTGTTTAATTATTAGATAAACAATATTTCTGATAAAATTTTATTAATAAAACAAATAATAAATTAATATTCAAAAAAAATGTATAATTGTTTTCAAATTCTATTTCCGACAAATATATATTACATAATATAACATAATATAGTATCTGTATGTTTAGCAAAATAACTATTAGTTCCGTTTAAATGCTAAACTAAACACTGGGCGCTGTGTTTATGTTTTTATGGTTCAACTATTTATTATAAAAACTCATTTTTTCTATGTATTGATAAAATTGACAGCTTTTTCTATGGATGTACTAACACTTTAAGCGGTTGATTGCATATTAAAATTTCATATATCAGACCCTAATATATTTAATCCATAGTTTGAGTGCCATAAATATAGGAATAAACAATAAACTTTAGCACCGGTTGGTCTTCAAACTATAGTGACCATAATATTTAGATTTATCTGAAAAGTAAAAATCAAATAATTTATATCGAATTTTTGTTTAATAATTTCTTTTATAGAGTCAATGTTTTTTTAAAAAATTTGAATTACTTTATATTATAAAAAAAATTGGGAAATAACTTGTAAAAAGTACAGGTTTGATGAATATTGAATTAGTTTACAATAGTTTTTTTCATTTAATTATTAAGCCATGACATCCCATTGCGAGATAGCCTCAAATATATAGAGTTGCAAAATAAGCAGTACTTATAGGTTACACATGAAATAAAATTTAATTAAATTCTCTTTCACTTCAAACCTGCACTTAATGTTTGTCTGTAATATAGTTTTTGTATTATAATATACTGTAAGTTATGTTATGTAAAAATCGGTTTCAATTAAAGACTGACTTTTCTGTTAATAATATATTTCTTACGCCTCGAGAGTCGTGACTACTTTAAGCGCATTACTTACTGGTCCTCAAACTTTAACTTAATATTTATAATTAAAACAACATTACATTGTGTTGTTTGATGAGATATATAACAATGTTTTGCACAGTTGTCTATAAACAGACACAAGTGATGGCTGCGGCGTGAATGAGAAGCTTATATTAAATGTATGCTTACATTATATGCTCATTGGCCACACATATGGACATACCCTTCAAACTAAATTTGCTTACGGCTCTCAATTTAAGCATATGTGTTGTCTTCAACATTGATGATACATATAATTAGTCATAAAGTCATTATTAGTGGTGATTCTCATGACATGACTTTTGAAATGTGTTTTTAGTTAAAAATAGTATAATTGTTGGCCTTCTCTGGTCTGACTCGAGGCTTAGCCGCACAATGTGTTGACCAGAATGTCATCAAATTATTGCATATATAAGGCATTAGAGAAGCAATCAATAGGGAAGTGATTGTATGTTCATATCATATGATTTAGTTTTGTGGTATGAATGCAATGTCTAAATAACCAAAAATTTCAAATTAAAACTTTCATTGCCTTTAATTATAAATTGTTTCAGTGAAAACCGTAAATTATTGAAACTTTTATCAATATTACTAAAACTACAATATATATTACTAATAGTGAATTCACTTAAACACAAACACAACCTTCCCTTTGACAGACAACTCACTCGAGACTTGACAAACATTTGTGCCATAAATGTAAAGTTTGAAACAAAAATACTTTTAAACTCTTATGGGGGAAGTCTTTAGTTTTGTGGAAATGGAAATATATTAACAAAAAGTTTTCATCAAAATAACTCACAAATGGTATACTAAAAGTACAGTACAGTAATAGTTAATGTGTTTGTACTCAATATACAGATGTATTATACAATTTGTACTGTACTTGCATTACATTAATATAAGACCATTTCAATGATGTCTTTCATTATAAATAGTAAAGAGTTTCACTATAGGGGGCAATATATTTATTTAACTAATATAATAGTATAGTTAGTTCATAAAATTTGATAACTAACCATACAAACTATATTACATAACAATTAATTATTAGAAATAAGTAATTTAAAAATATAGAAATTAGATTATGTAATTTGTATTCAGAAATACTAAAATTTAGTTAATATAAATGTTATATTCCATTAAGTTTTGAAAATTAAGTCATTGAATGTTTTGCAATTAGGATTGATATTTAATTATATCATTTAAATATAAATTAAAACTCAATTACTGATCACTTATATATATATATTATATATATAGTACATTATAAATATTTTTTTATATCACTCTTAATGATTGCCAGAAATTGTGTTTTAATGCAAATAATTTTGACAACATTTTGTTTTGTTTTTTTATTTTTAAGATATTTTATTTCAGGCACTTAATAACTTAATAGATCAAAATTTTTTTTAAATGTTTTTGTTTTTGTTATTTTTTTGTTAAAAATTGTAATTTGTTTGTTATTTGGCGGCAATCGATGCCATTAAGCGATGCAATTCATAAAAAAATGTTTTCTTATTTTTTACATTATATTACTTATGGCTAATGTTACTCCACTAATGTAATGAATATATTGATATTTAGTAAAGTTTGCATAAAGTGCTGATAAATATCTAACTTTTTTTTATCGCAATAATGTTTTTATATAACTACCTGTATCATAATTATGTGGGTAATTGCATTTGTATATCTTAATTATATTTACTAATAGTGTGAAAAATTTATTAAATTAAACAAAATAATTAAAAATGTCAAAATATAGTATATTAATTTAATGAAATCTGAGGTCAATTTTTATAGACTATTTCTAAATTATCTTAATTATTAATATTATATTTTCTTTAATAATTTATACAGTATAAAGTCAAATATTAGGTCATGTTTAAATGATTAAATGATTTGTATTTTTTTTGTTGAATTATATAATATACTGCATTTTACTAAAATCAAAATATTTTATTGTTAAACAAAATAAGTTTTAAAAGGCAACTAAAAATTTTATAAACATATTACTAATTAACTAAAATGAGAATTTTTTCAAAACTTGACTTAATCACTATATCTTGAGTAGTAATAGTAATAAAAAAAGATAAATAAAAATATTTTAATTAATAATTAAAATAACATATAAAAACTATACTTTTCATTTGCATTATTTTGATAATTTTTATTTGTTAATTCTTATTACTTCCATTAAAAATCTTAAAAAGCACTAAAATAATACCATTAAAACTATATATTTAAAATTGTTATATTACTGATATAAACTTGGCCATTTTCTTAAACAATTTTAATTTAATTATTATTATTATTGTTGAATTTATTATTTAACCATTTTTATTAAATATTAATATATATACAACTTGTATATATATATATATCTTACATTTTATTATTGTATATATATATATACAATAGTAAAATGTAAGATAGCAAAAATAAGGCTTATTATATATTTTTAAGTTTAATTTAATAATATTTTACTAATTTAAATTTTTGTTAATAAAGATTTAAACAAATGTCAATTCAATTACTTGACCTTAAAATAAATTGATATCAAGATTAAGTAACTTGAAAAATAATTTATTAAATTTTGAATTGATATTATAAATTAACTATTTAGTTCAATTATAGGCAATTGATCTCAAAATTATAACGTCGGTATACATAACTTTAAAAATATAAACAAAAATTAATAAAAAATAAAAGTTTAATTTGTTAATATATGGCATTTAAAATATACTAAATTAATGATACTATGATTTTGTGGGTGTTAAGGGTTTGGCAGTAAATTATTTTTATGTTTGAATTACTATTTTAATAAAAATATATAAATCAATTACTATGGTATATGAATTATAAATAATTGTGTGCAGGTGTAAATAGATTAACACAAAATTTATATTATTGTATTTTAATATATGGTTTATCATACCTTTATAGTTACTGCCAAATATAAATCATAATAAACAAAAATTATAGAGTATTTCATATAATGAATCATAAAAATTCAAAGTCGAGACTCACTTGAAAATCATTTTTCACTTAATCATTAACTTTTGGAAACCCAATGACTATTCAATCATTTAATTTGAAAAATTATACGTTTTTAATGAGATTATATTTTTATATAATTATATTATTGTTTTATTTTAATGACTATCATTCTAATGTATATAAATTATTTTTTAAACTTAAAGCTGAAAATATATTTTAAAAGTTATTTGATATACACGTACCGTATGTTATCATTTATGATGTACACCTAATCCCACATATTTATAGCATAATCACTGGCATTACGAGTATAACTTATGAATCACTTATTATTAGGAATGTATTAAAAAATAAAAATTGAATAACCAATGCATTGAATACTATAATATTATGATAATTTTATAACTAATATATAACAACAAAATACATAGTTTACAATACTAATAATACAACAGTAACAATATATATGTTTAATTTCGAGTAATAAAATAGTTTATTTATAAATTACTACTATTGTAATTGTCACAAATAAAGTTTATCTTTAAATCTATTATTTTGTTATATTTTACAGTAAACTTGATTTGCAATTAAAATGCAAAATATAGAGACAGTTAATAAATCAATTTGATAGCAACCAATTACTATTTAAAAATATGGCATTTATTTTGTTGACTTATCTTTACTAATAATCTTTGTTTTTGTTTGATTCAAATTGACAGCTCATTTACGTCCGCCCCGTATAATAGAGCACCCGAGTAGTGTTGTGGTCAAAAAGCATGAGCCCATCACTATTAACTGCAAGGCTGAGGGAAAGCCTACGCCAACAATTATTTGGTATTGTATTTATTAAATATTATTGTTAGCATTGATTATTTACAGATCAAAATGATAACAAAAAAAATACAATAATAATGCACAGGTATAAAGATAACGAGTTGATCCACAACACCGCCAACCGTATGGTACTGCCCGGAGGCTCACTGTTTTTCCTTCATGTAATACATAGCAAAAAGGACGGCGACACCGGAACATATCACTGTATAGCCAAAAATGAACTGGGTACTGTTAGAAGTAGGAATGCCACCATCGAAATGGCCGGTAAGTCAATTATATACTTGATTTATAGTTAGGCCGAATGTAGTCATATATAACTAATTTGTAATTTATGACATTCGGGTGTTACCCATATAAAACTTTTTAAAAGTGGGAGTTTTATCTATAAATTTGAGTGATATATACATATAAATCAATATTTTTATTTTTATATTATATCAATAATTATAAATATTTTGGGTAACGCACCACTGATTTATACAATTGATTGATGACTATTAAGTGCATCCCTTGATGTTTAATACAAATTTCTTATCATTTCAAATACAAATTAAGTATTAGAAAACTTGTTTCTTTTTGTACAGTTTGCACAGTCAAGTATTGCACAGTTAGATATAATATAAATTTTACAGTTTATAATATTCATTATCTGATGAATATAATAATGTCAATGAATATAATAAACATTAGTTTAATTTACAAATTGACACAAAAAATACTAATTTACTGCCAAAACCTACTAAGATATACACAACTTTTATATTTTCAATACAGTATTATTTGATTAATTGTTATTATTTGTATTTTGTGTTTAATTAAAATTTTAGGTAAGATTAAGGATCCGCGGACTCGACTCAATCATACATCAGTTGAATTAAAGGATGTCCTCGTTTTGAGCTCAAGTGCTGTGAAACTGTTTTGGGATTTTCAGGGAAATCAAGAGTATATCGAAGGCTTTTATATCCGATATAAAGACATAAGCGTTGATCCGATGACACAAAAGTTTACGACAATAACTGTTGCCAACAGTGGCTCTACTTATGTATTGAATGATCTGAAGAAGTTTACTCGTTATGAATTTCTTGTGATTCCTTATTACAAGAACTTAGAGGCAAAACCCAGTAATAGCAGAACAGTTGTGACCGATGAAGACGTGCCAAACGCAGCACCTGAAGGATTGGGTATCAAAGTTGTAAACCTGACGACTGCTACTATTGAATGGTCACCGCCGGCACCGGAGCACAGAAATGGCAATCTTATGGGATATAATCTGTATATTCAAGGAATCACTTCAACAATTCATTTAAATATGACTCTCAATTCAAATGATACGTCCATAACATTATACAATCTGACCACTGGTGCCATATATACAGTACGGATATTGGCCTTTACAATAGCCGGTGCCGGACCTTTTAGTGAACCGGTGGCACTTAGAATGGATCCGAGTCTTTTTTATTCAAAACTAGAGGACGGGCCGTCTACCAACTCTTTGGATACAACCTATCTGAATGGTGTGATGAGTCAAACTTGGATTTATGCTGTCATTGGGTTTGTAATCCTTCTCATTCTTGTGGCTATTGTTATCGGCATAATTATGAAGAGACGTATGGCCTGGAAAAAAACTATCAGTGCTCGTCTAACGGCTCCGTTGAATGTCAAAAACGATGATATAGGAAGAGGTGGTTATAACGGGAACGCAAGGGAACATTTGTGGATTAATCAGGGTTGGAGACCATCTGATAAAGATAACAACCAAACAAAACATTGTCCACCAAATGATATCAATGGATATTCCAGTGCTTTCGTTGCCGAATACGCGGCACCCGACTATGCAGAGGTTGATACACATAATTTATCGACATTTTACAAAAAACAAGAGTCGTTTCCTTCAGCTCCGGCACCGTATGCGACAACAACATTGATAAATGCAATACCAAAACATGGATCTGTTAGAGAGCACAGAAGTAGTGGTTCTGAAGAAATGGGAAGCAAAAAGTCAGACAAAGGGATGTCATGTCGTGAGCTAAACGACGACGGAGTTAGAGAACACCTATTGGTTGAACAGTCATTGAAAAGTCCGAGTGATTCTGGAAGTTATACCGATGAATACGGAATACCTGTTCGGAAGATTAAAAACAATAGACAGAGACCACAAATGAATCACTCATTTAAACCAAATAATGTTCATATATCCGGTAATTCATCACTAAATCAAGTATCAAAAGGACATGTACTTAACTGGAATGATCTGATACCTCCACCGCCTGAAACTCCTCCGAGTGAATGCGGGACACCTCCTGACACTCCTATACTCAACTGTAATGTTAGACAACATAATGCAAATCGTATGGTCAGAGTTCAGGTATAATTAATTTAATATAATATATACAAAATTGATTAATGATTTGATATATGATTTTTATTTGCAATAGTTACCATCGATGGCTTATATACATTCTGGTAGTGCCAACTCAGGCCGTTCCCCTCTTGTAACCCGAAGCTATCAACCCTCGCCTGTCAACAGTCGACACAGTCTTTCGTCGCCAAAAAGTACATTAACCCGAAACAAGAAAGTGTCGGACATATTGTCATCGGATAGCAATAGACAGCAGACATTTCTGCAAAAACTGAAAGCAATGCAAGCAAATGCCAATCAATCCAATGGACACTACGCGCCAACAAATGTCATAACAAATCCAATGGACAGACAATTACAATCATCACTACAATCACTTATGGATGGAAATCAACAACAGATGAATCCATACCAGAGATTAGAAATGGAGTCTGAAATGGATGGACACAGACATGATATAAACCGAAAGGCAAATAATGGTAGACATTCGCCACAATCCAGTGTTGATGACGATACAGATTATGGACATTGCGATCGAGTAGTCAGTGATGGCCATCAATCGAGTTATGACGAAGAAGATGCCGACAATGCTTTCTACGCGCAGACAAATCTTGCCGACTGTTTGATCCGTGCCGTACAAAATGGCAGCGCTTATACTTTTAATGAACAATCATTTGTCATTGAACCACAACAACTAACCAAACAACACATCCCTAATAATAATAACAATAAGAAGTTTGTGTCTCACCAAAGGACACATCTGTCAGACTATAGACCTTCGAGTCCTTACAGCACTGATAGTAATATGAGTACAGCAGTGTCACAACAGACCAAACATCCGCCAAAGTTTCGCCGGCGAAACAATAGTGACCACAATATGGTTAACAGTCATATTCAGTCTCCCTCTTCATGTTCAGAGCACTCACCTTCATATGAGATGATTGGCGATGACTTTAACAATCATTTGTCACAAATGCCAACCAATGTTCCTAACAATGCTATGCATACTAACCGTAAGTTTTATTAATTGTAAAAAATGAAATTAAAATTTTTTTTTAATAAACATATTTATATTTTAATAGCTCACGATATGTCATCCAATTATATCTCTTACAAGAAACCCATCTTTCAAGAGGCAAACCAACCGATTGTGGTCACCGATAATAAGAGTCAAATATCATCGCCGACGTCCAGTAAAGACTCGTTTAATTTAAAATCATTTGCTATGCGTTTGGATGCAAGAGATGTATGTTTTTTTATTTTTAAAAAATAATTATTAGAAACTAATATATTATTCTTAAATTATTACAAATAGACACCAATTGTTTAAAATAATGGAAAAATTGGACTCAAGAAGATTGAAGTATTGAAATGATTGACTGAATTCATTATTGAAAGCATATCACTCTCTAATTATAAATAATTAATAAATGCAAACATTTATGCCTTGTTTTGTCTATTTTTAATAGACAATTAAATACTGTTTGATAATAATGTCAATTGTTTCTATATTAAGTAAAAGATATTGTATGACATATTGTATTTATATTAAATATAACTATTTAATAGATATTATTAACAAAAATATTCTAATAATTATTGTATAGTTAAAAAATTACATGAATTAACATTACTTTATTGTATAATAAAATTATGTATAATGTGTCAGAAAATTAAAAACTAAGTTAATTCTATAGTAATATTACTAATAAAATAATAAATAGTGTAAATATAGTTATGTATGTATAATAAAAATTATTGATGTGATTTTGTAAATAATTTACAATAAAAAATTATTTAAAATTCAACTATTGTTTATTTACTATTTATTGGTTATTTATTTAAATTATTGTCACATAAAAATAGCTCAAATAAAAGTACCAGATAGTTTTTTAAATAACCTAAATATAAACCTAAATATTACTAACGAAATACCTAATTACCTAAATATCGATAATAAAGATAAGTAATTTTAGTGTATATTATATATTTTTAAAGATTACTTAACCAAATAATTAATATTATTTTTAAAGTTTATTTTCAAAAACTAAACATTTTTGTGGTAAATGTTTAAGAGCTTGTATATATAATTGAATGTGTCCTAGGTCAGTTTAATTTAAATATTGTCACTTTAAAAATCTTTTATATTTATTATTATATAATTGCTTCTCTATATTCAGTATTAATTGACATTACATTATAAATTCAAATAGTAGAGTGAAGTAGAGTTCTAAATGGTTTCGATTAGAATTTATTTATCGGTAATTAATAACTTTTATAGATCTAACAAATAATTAATTCAAAAAACATTTATATATTACATATATTTATTTATACAATTAATTAAAATGTAAATATTTATCTTTGATAAAGTATATATAATGTATATATATATTAATTATAATTATACATAATTTAATACGAATAATGTATTTTTTATATTTTAATATTTTAGCTATAAGATTGAAATTTAGCTAAAAATTAATGAACAAATTCATTATATTAATAATCTGTTCATTAATCTAAAGAGTGAGATCTCTTTCAATAGATTTTGTCTCACAAGCGCTTACTTCGGGGACTAATTCAGTGATAATGTCCGCATAATATTGACTGAAAACGGCTCTATTGTGGCTAACAATACGTATAAATTTTCCAGTAATTTCTGTCAATTCTTCTTTAACTGCTGAAAGACCGGTTGGTATTTGCATCGGTTGTGCTGTCGGTGACATCAAAGCCCTTTCAATAAACTCTAATACTCTTCTTTCAACTATTTTTCTTAATCTGTTATCACTTGAGCTCAGATCGACTGTCTGTTTCTCTAAAGATTGTTCTTTATTTGTGTCCAACTGTGCGAATCCATGTTCTTCGGCACAGATTTTCAGTTCTTGTTTCAAACGAAGTGAAATTGTAATCAAAATATCCTTGAATTCAGTGTCTGATAGAACCGAACAATTGTCTGGTAATAAAATACATAACTCTTTCTTTAACTTATTTTTAAACTCTTGAAGACTTTGAACCGATGGTCCAGTCGTTGCATTTGTAACCAGAAAAATAGAGCCAACGAGTGTTATCTTAAGTACCTGTTCTCTAATTTCTTGTATCCGCTTAGCATCCAATAGAAGTGTTTCTGGATATGAGTCTTGTATGGCATTATCACAAACTAATAGTTCCAAATAAGCATTCGTTAAGATTTTATTTGTAATCATAACAGCATTGCTTTCTTTGGATACATCAATAGCTTCATAGTTGCGTTTAATCCATGATTTAGTAAACTCGAGTCCATCGACTGTTGTTAACTCTATAATAGACAAAATTGTTATTCAAATTATTATCAAATCAATTGATTTGTATAAAACAATAATCACTTGATTGCTGTTCGAGAAACTCTTTAAACTTTTTGCGTTCGTATTCAATAGACTTGAGCTGAATGTGAGGTCGCAATTGTTGTATATGAAAGTTAGCCATATCTAACTTCATCACATCCAACAAATCCATTATTCCTCTAATTTAATTATTATTTATTAAAAAAATTAATTAACAAAATAGTATTATTAGATAATTACCTAATGAGAGAAATGACTTCATTAGTTTGAGTCAATTCCCGTATTGTCTCATCTCTTATGGGAGCACAGAGTCGTGAACAAACTGATAGTATGTACTGAGCGTATCGTTGAAAGTCAAAGATGCCATTATCTGCCTGTTGTTCAATTAGATCCAAATCAAGTATTTCTTCGATCTCTTGTTTGAGACGAGTATGTTGTGGCAAAAGCAATGACAATAAATTTTCTTTAATATCTTTCAATAAATTCAAAGCCTGTTTGTAATTAGTTGGCGATTCATTGAGTTGTGATTCAAGAATATCCCAAAAAGCTTTGTGCGCCACTTCTTTCACTTGTCTCTCAAGACTGCCGTAAAATCATAAGTAAAGTTAAAATCCGGACAATAAGCTGATTGTCATAAATATAAGACAAACCTGTTGTCAGTCGGTTCCACTTTTTCCAGTTTAAAGTTGTTATCGACAGCTATTTCGTGCGCCAAAACCATATTCTCGACGCCGTTCGCCGCTTTCATTATCTCTTCAAATGATATAAATCGTGGCGGAGATGGACTTAAACCAAATCCAAACGCTCCGACAGTTACCGATTCAGCCAAAGGTGTTGTTGTCGGTGACGTTGATCTGTTGTCCCGTATTTCTGATTTTTGTCGCTTACCATCAATACTAATATTATTTATGTCATGAGTTGTGGAGAGCATCCGATTTTCGTCACTACTGGTACTCTCAGTCCGTGATCGCGGAATCTTAATCTTTTGAGTCATTGGACAGCCATTTGTTGCCTCCAAAGTCTGCTTTTCTTTTAATACTTTCGTCTCTTCTCCAGATGTCTCACAAATCTTGTCGTCTGAATTGTTATCCATTTATTTTAGTCGTTTTTATTAATCAGATATATTTTAAATCTAATGAAAAAATATAAAAATAATCAAAAATTAAAATATTTGCTTTTATAACGTTAAATTAAATACAATGTCTCATGAAATAATTTTAACAAAATATTATTTAGTAAATATTATTATTTAAATAAAATAATCGTCGGATTAAAACATTTCTATCATATATTGTACTCTCAGTTCAAGTTCATAATTATTTAATAATAAAATTCAAAACATTAGTCTATGAATTAAGTGATAATGTAGGTGTTATTTTAAAGGTCATCGTCGGTATAAAATTTTATTATATTATATATAATAATTATTGATATACACTATGGCATAACAAATGCAATTAAAATGCATATTAAATCATGTTATGACTCATTGAAATTGTATGCTATCATGAGATTTACTGTCTTCAAGTAATTAATTAACACATTATTCAAAAATGTGGGCAAAATTTATCAATGATAAATATTTACATTTTTATTATGATTTTATTGTATTGTTATTGTAATTAAATTAAATAATAATAAATTAATAAAAATAAAACATTTTATCAAACTTTTCAATTAAAACATACTTATAATAGAAATCTAAAGTTATACATTATATAAAAATGATAATGTTCAAAAACATAATAATAATAAATAAATTATAAAACATACAGTAGTATATGTTTTCTCAAATATATTTTTTAGTAATCTTATCATAATTAGTGTTCATATTACTACTTCCTATAATAAAACTTTTGTTGACCTCAATATATAAGTAATTTTAAAAATAATTTAATAAATATCTCTTGTTTATTACTAAACCAAAATATTAAGTAAATAAAAATGATACTAGTACACATTACACAAATTTATATTGTATGCATATTATAAAATAAATTTAAACTTTAAAACATTAAACTTAATTATACTATTTTGTTAAATTAATATAATTACTGTAGTATATAACACTAGAGTAAACAATTTTATTGATTTAGTTAAAATACAGTACATTATATTATTATGCTTTCACTTTAGTTACAATTAATATTAGTTTAAATAATACAAATAATAAAAATTGTCTATATTTTATCAATATTAAAATATTTATCAATGTATTTCATAAATTGTATATACAAGTATTATATAATTAATTTAAAAACAATTTTCCTATTAATCAAAAAATATTATGACCTCAATTTGCTTTCATAGATAAATTATTGTCATTTAGGGTGTGAAGGATTCAGTTTAAAATTATATATCAATATACGTAACGATACAACAAATTATCGTATATTTTGATTTTGATTTATTGATTTAATGTCTAACTTTTATAATAAGAAAAAATAATAATTTTAAAACTATTTATTATATTTGTATATAAAATTAAATGTTTTTATTTATGCTAGATAGATTAAAAATAATAAAATAAAGTATACTGTATAATATACAGTGTATATTAAAAAAAAACTAACCTAACAAAAATTTAATAAAAACAATTAATTTATTTGTAATTTTATAACATTTTTATAAGAAATTTCGAAAAGTGTAAAAGTTTTCTTAAAGTTATCTTACATTAAACTATAGTTTAATTATGTTTTTAATAAAGCATTTTTAATATAAATATAAATTTAAAAAAACATTGGACTCATTAACCAAACATAAAACTCAATTCATATAAACAAATGTGAAGTTTAAAAATAAATTTCACTTAAAATTTCTTTGAATAGTAACCTATTTTGTTGAACGTATAATAAGCTATATTAAGTACATTTCATAAATTATTATTAATTCAATGAAATTATTTTGTTTATAATAACAAAATGTCTTTAATTTTATTTTTCTCAAACTACTGTTAATCAACAAAAAATATATAATAATAAAAGTATTATAAATATATAATATTAATCATTATATAATACTTAATTGAAAACTATAATTAGTATTATAAAACAAAATGTTTTATTTTAGAGATCTATTTTAAATTCTATTTTTATTTTACAACAATTGTTTAAAAATATTAATAATAAAATAACTGTATTTATTAAATACAATATATTTTTAAAAATTTCGGGAAATAGAAAATTGAGGAAAATATGTGGGAATTTGTTGTGAAGGAAGTAAACATTACGTGACATTTACATCATATGACTATTTATATACCTGTATATCAATTATCATATTATATTGTATTTGTATAATATATCTTATAATTAAATAAATATTTTTTTTTGTTGAATACTTATAGATAATTAATATTAATATAAAAATCATAACAAATCGTAGTATAAATTATTATATTATTATTATTAAATAAAATGAAAACAAAACTCACCATAAATTCAATGATAAAACACTGAATAGTGTTATGAAAACAATGGTTTTGTGTAATAAATAAAAATTTGTATCAAATAAATGACAAAATCAGTGAAAATGACACAACAAATGCTAAAATCAATGTTAATATTTTGGAGTAACGATCAAAATATTAACAAATCATTTGTTAATTATGTTGTGTTTTGTTAGACAATCAAAAAATGAAATCTTAATTATTATTAATATTTATTATTTAATATATGTTTTTAGTTTATAGTGTTTTGCAGTCATTGAGTCAATGAGTCTAACATTAATTCAATATTTAATACGTAATGTTGTGCGCAATCACTGTATTATACAGTATGTGAAGCACTACTGTATTGACATCTAATACATCATATGATTACTATTATAATACAATGTATTAACGAAAACAAACGATTGCTTGCATTCATAGTTTGCTTACGTTTTTAATTTCACTATTTCTTACCCATAGTTGGCGTCACTAACAATAATAAGATGACAATAATAACTTTAATAACTTTAAAACTAATAAAAAAATTTATCAATGTATTGATTATTTTAATATCAATAAAAATATTAATTATATTTACAAATATACTTATACTTTATAGAGAGACAATTGAACAAAAGTTTAAAACTTAATAAATATTAATAAATAAAATATATTTATTAAAAATAATATCATTGATTATAGTTTCAATGTATAACAGATGGCAATATAGTCTTTAATATAATGTAGTAACTGTACAGATGTTGAAAATAAGAAAAATAATCAAATTTAATACAATAATAATTATAATTATTGTATAAAAATACTACTAATAAACTATCCTGGTTAAATTTTACATATACTAAACTATCAATCATATTTAAAAATTAAATGAATAATATATTATTAAAAATAATAGTCATATGTATTAATTTAATTGACATTAATTGATATGATTATTAACATTTAAATGTTAAGAACTAAAGTTTGTAATTAAAAAATTATTTAATATTAATTATTAGAGCATTTAATTTCAATTTATTTTTTCTTCAATATAGAAGAATATATTAATTATGTTTATAAATCACTTTAAAACAATAGTCTTTTATTATATAGTTTTTTAAAGCTTTATTATAAATATAACTACTTTTTTGTAAATAATTTTTCAATATATTTTTTAATAATAATATTTAGCAACTAATGCTTGAATTTATTAACATTTTTAATCATATTCTTTATATAGCATTTAACGCAAATAAAAAAAAATATTCATTAAAACATTAATGAATAACAAGACATAAATTTTTGAATTATTATTAATTTTTTAGTCAACACTTTATTTTTTAAAATTTTAATTTTTAAAACTATTTATTTTTATACTTTGAATAATTATTTTTTTAATTTTTGTATAATAATTATATTAATAGTTAAAATTTATATTACTTTAATGCATAACATTTTTTTCTATTACTACTTCAATTATTAATATATTTTAAAACTAAATTAGTAATTAATATTAATTTTCGTATTAATAATCTTAATTGGTTCTTATAATTAACTACAATTTATGCAATTAACATGCATAGTGCAAAATACAATTAACAATGTATGAATATTAATTTAATTAAAAAATTTATATAATTTTTAGAAGTTTTCATTTATAAATAATGAATTCAAGTTTAATTTTTAATTATTTTTGTTATTTATTTATATATTTGTATATTTTAAGGCACAAAATAGTCTTTTTCCATTAATAACTATATTAATATAAAATATCAAAGTGTAAATCAAATTTAATATTACATAAATATCATTATTCATAATAATTTATATAATTTTAATAAATTAAGTATATTTTTAACAATATATTGAGCTATTTATTAGAGGTTAAGAGCACTTCAATTGTATATCAATTGCTCTCTATTTTATTCATAAAATCTGTTGTTTATTCTGATATTTTTTAATGTTTTAATAATAGATAATTCGGTCGATAGACTCATATGTTGAGCAAATAACAGATAAATTTGTTGTATTTTTTTTGATGTCATTTGAGGTCAATCTTCAAGTTATGTCAGACGGGTGTCGATGGCTCTGAGTTATCGATTTGTTCAATCAATACCCACTAGAAATTAAAAAATACAAATTGTTTAACAAATAATTTTACTGAATATAACACATACCGCTTGATCCGGACGTTTAATCTCCATAAGTGGTGTATTGTTATTACAACACTCTTCGTCGTCCTCCTGTCCTGAGTCGTGTTGAGAGCCACCCGACGCCGGACTAACTATTTTGTTGATTGCATTTAGCGATTCTGTATTATTATATAAACATCTATACTGTTTGGAGTCTATATCATTGATTTCAGTGATGGTTGTGTCTAATAGGTTCCGTTTTTTAAGCACTGGGACCACAATTTCTACTTTTTGCTTATGATTCTCTTCCTGTGCGCCACAAATCAAAACCAATATTATTAGAGAAATTTGTTTATAAGAAAAAATTTTAGTACACAAAGAGTTCAATGTCTTTATGTTTGATTATAGATAATGATATTAGATATCTTTTATAAACTCAAAATCAATGACAATTGATATTTAAAATAAATTATCATTAATTACTTTTTGTGGTATTATATGGTTGTGTTTAAATGAATACAAAATATTTGACTGATCTCTAGTCGAGAGACCAGAATTTACGGACAAATCTTGCATATCAGTCATTAATTGGCACCGTTTGGTAGATATTGGGCCGTCTGTGAAACAATGGGGCGGCGGAGGCACATAAAGGGTCAGTGGGGTAGAGCTATGGTTGCTAACTGAAAATGAACCCTCTCTTTCCATATCCTCGTTTTCCTCTAAAACTGATGTTATTTCTAAAAAAATAATAAATATTATAAATTAAATATTTAGTATTTTTTAATATAATATATAAATAAATTTTATGAAATATATTAATGTAAATTATATGAGCTTCTTAGAAATCTAGCTAAACTAAAAAAATAAAATATAAATTTATATTATGCAATAAATAGTACTAAATTTTACATTATTTGAAGTTTCTTGTAATACATCAAATATTTTAATACATTATTGTAGTGAATATAAAATATAAAATAATTAAAAAATTTAACTACAAGAATATAGTTAGCGTACCTCTCATTTGCATTGAATCTCTTATTTTAATCGTATGACACGTTCCCTCTCTCTTGTTATCGATGTATGAGTTTTGCAAATGTGATGTCTTTCTAATGATACCATGTATTAAGTAAATTGATTTAACCAACAATTATCGGTTATTTATCACAAATAGTGAAAGTAATAAAAAATAGAATAAGATATTAGAAAAACATGAGTTAATAAAAATTATAAATTATTTAAATTATTTACTTCATTATAGATCTGGGAGTTGTCTTTGTTGTATCAGTTGGTTGAACTGATGCTAATTCTTGATTATGATCTGTTATCAAATAAATATTTTGTAATATAATAATAATAATTATAATTATTTAATAATTATGGATTCATGAATATTATATTTATATAAATATATATTAAACGTTAATACGTTTAAGTTGTTCTTCTGATTTGATTTTCATAATCATTATGATAATGATTGCCAAAACAATGAGAGCGCCCACAACTATCATAAGGACTGTCAGCAGTGGACTAATTTCTAAGTCTTCCGTATTATCTAAAAATGAGATCAACAACAACAACGAAATCAGTACCGGAATCGACATTAGAAATAACACAAAAAAAAAAGAAAATAATAGAGAATTGGCTAAAGAAATCAATTATCGATTTTGTTTGAAATGACAATTGGTGTTAATCAGTGGCAACAGCTATAGTGTCACCATTTGTGCCCAAAAAAACTCAGTCAAATCAGCGGATTGTCAAATATAAGACATTATATATATTATTAATATAATACATGGGATTTATTGTAGAGTATATTATTTATAAATTAATGCTCCGGTCTTTATATAAATTACACTATTATTAGTGTCGAACTATTCCTCAAATAACACTTTTTGACGATTTAACGTCTAAATCATTAAAGGTTAACGTTTTAACCGTTTAATAATATAAAAGTTCAAAAAATGCTTATAACTAAATGTACATTTGTTATATAAATTTGTTATATACTTTATTTTGATGATATCAAAGTACTTAAAGATATTTTGTTGTTTGGTTTCACCACTTAATTAAATCCTTATAAATTATTCGTCAAAATTTAGAGCTAATGCAGTACTTAATGACAAATGAGTGCAAATGTTAGTTGAAATTCGTGTTTGTCTTAAAAAATTGTTTCTAATTTAATGTTATTTTTTTACTAATTATGTGAATACTTTTCACTACATCAAGTCTATTGAGATTTAAAGAGACTTAATAAAACAATTAATTGACTTTTTCGTTAATATTGATTGCAACGTAAGAGTCAATAATATAACAAATAATTCAGTATAACTGTTAACCATTTAAGGCAATAATGATAACCACAGATCATTTTGCGGCCGTTTTTAGTTTGTTATTCAAATTGATGTATATTTTTGTTATAAGGAAATGGATATAATATATCTAACTGCTAACCACTTTGCCAGTGAGCGGCCACCAGTGTATTGCCAGTAATGGTGACGCCTTTGCTCTTTCCTTTAGTATTACTCGAGTATACAATCAAACGAAAGGCATAGCCGGCCGGCAATCCTTTTGCAATGAAAAATGGATATTCCGTTGAACTTAAGTTAACTAAAAGTCGGTTTGGATTCGCACTGAAGACTTCCAGATAGAAGATCTGATCCAAACCACCAGAATATCCCGGCAAACATTCTATAGTTACTTCATGTGCTGTTATATTAGTTAGGGAACAGTTGTCTGGTGGAGTAGGCGGTCCTTAATATAAACAAATAAAATTATTATTATAAATGTATTATAATAATAGTAAAACATATTGAATAATACCGGCTTCAATGACAAAGAAAACACACGGCTCTCTCTGTTTGCCGGCGCTATTCTGTGCCCAACAATATAGTCGTCCGTAATCTAAGTCAACTCGTGGTATATAAGTTGCATAACTTTTTTTGCCTTCACTGACAAATGATATCATATCCGGGTTATCATTGGCGCTGTTATTGAAAGCCCAATGAAACTCTACATCACTTGGATCGGCGTCTACTTCGCACTCAACTCTCGCTTCTTCTTGTTTGGCCACTCCGTAGTATACTCTCTGAACTGACTTACAAATTGGTGGATCTGTTTGGTATAGTCAACAATAATTGATTTTATAAAATGTCAAACAATATTAAATAAAAATAAATTAACACACATTTAACTTTGAGATTGACGACATCACTTTCACCCTTTCCCTGACTATTGACAGCAAAGCACTGGTACTTTCCGGTATGCATTTTAGGTCCTATATTACGAATCAATAGTGAATTATTTTTAACTTCAATCGCCGTTGTTTTTGTCGTGCTATCTAATGGTTGGTCATTATATAACCAACTGAGTTGAGTGACGGGTGGATTGGCCTAAAATTGAATATTTTATCGTATAATATAATATTAGTATTACTGTATTAAGTTATTGTTAACTAAATTTTACGTTTCATATATTATGATTAGCTTAATGTGTAATAATAATAAAAATACTATTGTATTAAAAAATCAGATTTTCTAACATATTTGCAATCAAACATAAAAATTAGACAATTGAAACATCTAATGAATGAACAATTTTTATAATGTTTTAAACTAATTTAATAAAAAGTTAATTTAAATAGAGATTATTAAAAAAATCAAGATTTTTCTAATTTATATTTTAATAAATATTATGATTAAAAATTATATACTAATAAAATTGATAAATAAATGGCTACATTATGTAAGAAAACACAATTAAATAAATAGTAATCTAAAAATATAAAATTCTCTCATTAAAATCTATTAACTATATTAACTGTTGTAAATTTTATTTAATTCATAAATTATAATTATGTATTAATATTAAAAATACTAAATATGTTGTTTATATTGTATTCCTAATTAATGACTTTTTATTTAAAACTTCAATTGTATAATTTTACTCATAATAACAGATATAAAAAGTAAATGATTTTTAGATTATTATGCGATTAATTGCGATCACAAAGAAAGTGCTGTTCATTAGGATCGATGTCTTACTTGAATATTGCACTCAAAGTATACATCACTGCCTTCAAGTATTTCCTGGTGTTGAACACTGGCGCCCAAAATCAATGATAAAATCGGTGCGTCTGTTATAGCAATCATCAATCGTTAATAAAAAAAATCACAGATAATTCAAATGAATATATATAATACATTGTAAAAAAAATAAATTTCAATATAAGAATATTTAACAACAAAAAAGTATTTTATAAAAATATAATTAACAAAAAAAACAAAAAATATGAATCTATCTATCAATTTGATAATATTTAATGGATTAGTGTAATGACATACATAAGACATTTAATGTCCAATTATTTTTCAGTTCAAAATCAGGAAATTTTAAATTAGTGACACAACACGACAATGTCTTTCCATTATCATCTATTGATGGCATAAAAGTTAAGAAATTGGTCGTAACTGATCCGTCATCTGATGTACTTTCGCCACTACTATCTATTTGTGTCGAACCCTTCCACCAGTTAATCTTAGCCGCCGGTCGAGAGCCACTCGACTGGCAGACCAACTCTACCCGATCTCCGGCCGACATATTGTGTGCCGGAGTTATAATTCGCACTTCCTTTGGCTTTACTGTTGATGTCAGACAAATGAAACGTTAGATTTTCATTAATCATTTAACTAACTTTTTTTGATTGAAATCAATTAAAAGCATTTAAACTAAAAAATTTCATAATATAATTGTAATGTACTATATATTATGCTAATGAAAAATGTGCAATAATTAGACTAACAATTGAGATCAATAGCAATGGTTTGTGTTGCAGGCACTGTCAGGTTGGTATTGGACGCCTGACAGGTCAGAACCATCATCAGGTCATCTCTCGTTAGTTTTGGTATATGTATCACATTTCTGATGAGTCCTTTAGGTGTTGTGTAATAGGATTCATCGCTTAAGGCTGAGCCCCGCCACCATTTGACTGTCGGCGAAGGGTTTCCTATATTGACATCAATTTGTTAATATAAAAATTGTTGAACAGTTGTCTAATTAAGACCTCCTTCCGATTCACACGTCAAATTGACCGACGAGTCCTCATTGAATGGACCAGCGATATCACTGATGCGATTGCGAGAGTCATCATAGATAACCACTTTAGATACAGGCACTAAAACAGTACAGTCATATAGTAATATCACATAAAAAATATATTATATAAAATATTACATTAAATATTTTAATGTTATTATTATTTTTATACGGTATGATTTAATATAAATTTATCATTGATTGAGTTTAGAAATTTCAATAATTAGTTTCATCAACAAACTCATCAATTAAATTTTTATTAAAAAAATTATTACTATAAGAAATAAAACAAAATATTTATTGTAAAATAAAATACAATATTAAAAAATATTATTATCATTATTTTTTCATTTAGTTGATTATAAAATATAAATAAAGTTATTAATAATTAAAATCAAAACAAAATAAGCCAACTGCCAAAAGCCAAATGTGTAAAGTAAACATCACTTTTAAATCTATACATTAATATCATAAATATTTTAATAAAACAGAGATATAGTTCAGATACTCTATTTACTAACTATGTTATAATATATTCAATAACGTTTGATTTTTTTTATCAAATAATCATTTATCTAATTTTTATCGTTTATCAGAATCCATAGATCTTTAGCCAACTCTAACAGTGACATCATTGCAGTCAATGATCATAAGGAGCAATACTACTGTATATATATTATATATTAATTTTCACATATATGATAGTAAATTATAGTGCAGTTTATACATTGCATGAGATATTTTAATCATTGTGTCTGAACTTTTATTTCAAGTAGTTTTTATTTTAAACAATCATTAATATATGATTTAAAATGTTTTGTATTGGTTTAACATTATTATTCATCATTATTAATGTTATTTTGAATTTTATATTTATATTGTCTAATGCATAAGTTGTATGGATAGTAAAAATTGTGTAATATTTATGAATTATTTTGTATAAAACACGCCTTTAATGTTATAAATGGTTAAACTATAAATACATATATAATATTTGGTAATTTTATATATAGAGGTAATATACTGTAAATTATTGTAATCATTAATAACCTAACAGTTTACTGATATACTGGTAAATATAAATAGAAAGATAAATAAATTTGAAAGAAAATAATGGTAAACATATGAACAAACCAATAACATTGAGCTTAAGGATCCGGTTGACAGTCCGGGCCCGACGGTAGTCCACTCGACACCGGTATTCGCCGCCATCATTGGCTTTGACCGGATTAATCCTCATGTATGCCATCGGATATGTTATATTAAAGACACCTCTGTTTCCCAATATTTCTGATGAGGAAAAATGTTTGGCATTATCTAAATGTGTGGTCCGAGCGTCCACTGTATAGATAGGGTTTCCCGTGTCGTCCCTATACCACAACACTAGTGACACGCCGTCATCATATGTAGGAGGGGTTACATTGCATGGAAGAGCTACCACACCGCCAACCACTGCATTATAGGCTGGAAAGTCTAATCAAATAATTAATTAATTAATTAATTACTTTTTTCTTAATTACCAATACTTAAATTATTACTATTTGTTTAAAATATAACTAACATTGAGTATATTTATGTATAAAAATAGGTTTCTAACAAATATAAATTAAATGTATTTTAAAAACATTTTTTAAATTAAATTTTACAATCATTGTCAACATTTAATTATTTTAAAGTGTTTAGATTCTATGTGTAAAAATTTTTGAATATTTTCTTATCATTAATAATTGTTTGGGTCGATTAAAGTTTATATGTTAAATAACTCAAAAATTTATAATGATAGTCATAAATTAAATTTATGAAATTATTTTATATATACAATTACTAGAAATAATTTACTAAATTACAATTTTTTTGATTTTTATCATTCTTTTTTTGAATAGAAAAGTATAACAAAAACCAAATTTAAGAAAAAAAGTTAATAAATATAAAAAACTTGAGATCATTAATCATATGGTGTTTCAAATATTTGATACTTCAGTCACGATTCATAAAAATAAATACGTTTTGATGTCTTTTTAAATAAAACAATACAACTATTCTCTTGTTTTTTGAAATATTTTTTGAAACAGTGGTCAAAACGTAATGAACTTATTATAAAAAGACAAACATTGTATTTGTTGTCAGTAATACTATAATTATTATACACTTTAAATATTATCAATTATATCTATAATACAATGTATATGCTTAATTTTTTATGAATAATATTATATAAATTATATATAATAAACAAATACAAATATTTTACTAAAAATAGCAATAGTTTATATCTGAAATTCAAATTCTAAAAAAATTGAATCTTTATTTTCAAATACATTTACATAACATTAACATTACTATTATCTCAACAGTAAGAGAATAAAAGTTTTACATAAATATTCAAATATATTGACAAAAATTGTTTAAACAATTTTTATATAAATAAGTGTTTTATATTTAAATTGCTAACCCTTTAATTTTTTATTGTAATCAATACAGATAATGAATCATTATTAATAATGTGATAAATTAAAAGAAATCATTTCTGAAATAAAAATTATAAAGCATTTAACAGTTTTTTAAACTTATTTATTAATTTCTAATAGTATTATATTGAATATTACGTTTTAATTAATTTTAGTTTATAATATAAGTTTATAAATATTTTAAATACAATTATAAATTTAAGCTTTTATATTAAAACTTAAGACTTTATTATTAAAAATAACATTTTATGCCAAAATTCAAGTCAACTCTAATTTATTTTTTAAGTAATGTAAAAAGTTTTCATTTAAGTTTTAATGTAAGCAAAAAAATAAAACGAAATATTAGATATTTGACTAAAACTTTTTAAACAAATAAAAATATATTCAAATATTAATTGACTTTTTGAAAAAAATGTTACTAAAAGCTAAACAAAGCATAAAATTAATGTAATGTTTTAAATACTCGCTGTGTTTAAGAAAGTTATTTAAGTAATGAATTAATTGTTTTAGTTTGTATGTGTCGTATGTGTCCTAAAACCGATGTAACAGTGCTTTCATGCCATGTGTGGTATTAATACTTATTATTGTAATGAATATCTATGGGATTAACTCAATTGAGTCTCATTAGGTGATACTATTGCTGTGTAAACACAACCTAATAGTGTTTGCAATTATAATAATAGGTATTACTAATAACAGTACAATAATAGTTACATATGGTTTTTTACTACAGATTAGTCACACATTTTTTATTTGTTATGTTATAATATTAATAGTAATGGAGTAATGGTTTAGTTTTTTTTAACTTTACAATAGTAGTACTTTAGCAGCAATTTATTATAAACATAAAAACATTAAACTTAGTTTAAAATTCCAATAGGAAAATATAAGATAAAATTTATTAATATTAATATACATAGCATTACATGTTATTATGCTTTAAAAAAGTATTTAAATAATTATCAAAATACAAAAAAAAACAATTTTTACACTTTCTTTATATAATACTGTATATAGTATATACAGTATTATATACAGTATATGTAACTATATATATACTATAAATATATAGTAGTGATAAAGTTTTTGTCATTGTCTCAGTGTTTGTGGTTTAATAGCTAAACGACTACTAATTAATAATCCGTCGCTTAATTGTAACGCCTTTTAGACGCAAAATATTAGACTATTATTGTCTGTAATTGAGAGGAGAAATTAGCCGTAATATAGTTGTCATCACTTTCTTTGCCACAAATAGTAACACTGATTGTGAATGTATTGTAAATGTGTCGGTCATTGCAATGATTTCAATCGCATCTAATTGTGATTCACATATGAGATGATATCAAATGGAAAATTGGACACAATTTGCAATTAAATAGTGAGATCTGTTTGTATAGTATGTTAGCTAATGATATTCAAACAATTTAGTGTCTAAACAGAGCACAAATCACTTATCAAATGAGATTATTTTGTTGTGATCGATACGATCATACAATCAAAAAATCTCTAAACATTTCTAATTATTATCTTTTACAGTATAAAATTGTGCAATGTATCAAGGTAACAGTTTTATAAATTTATTATCAAATAATAGTATATTCTAAAATAAATAATTAAATAAATAAAAACCAGTTGAGAATGCTAAAAAGCATTGCCAAAAACAAACTTTAAAGGCATAAAGTACTTTGTATAAATAATAAAATACCCCACATATGCATTACTAAAATTAAATAGTCCATATAAATCACATTTAAAATAATTTTGTATAATATTTGTTAGTTAGTATTCGTCATATTATCACTAAATAATTCATTGCTATTAACCATTAGTTCATTTGAGTCATATTATACATTACATATCCCAAAGTCAAAAATTCAAAAAATGCATATTTTATATTTTCTCAATGTTCCTGATGAGATATATAATTTTTATGCTATTCCCCTATACATTATTTTTCATTTTCTAATCGAATCTGATTTCAAAATTCGCAAAAAATATTGGTCGGACACAAACACACATATATTCCAGAAAACATCTTTTTAAAAGCTTGTTTGAAAATAATAATTTTATACTAATACCAGTTAAAAGAGGTCTGATGCAATTATCTGGCCAATCATAAGAGTAAATAAAAAATAATTAATTATAAATATATCCAGTCTAAAATTATCTATAACTTTGCCATTGGTCATTTTTTAATTAAAAATATAGTTTAATAGTTATTCACAAAACATTATGAGTCGGGAGTCTGATGCTGGTCTGATTTTAAGATAGAGCCTTAAATATTATCTAAAAATATACATTTGCAACTATTTATATTAGCTTTAAATAATTAGTCTATTATATATATTAAATAAAACATTAATTTAATTATATTTTTGAGATAATCATCAATTAAATTAATCAAATAATTAAATTATGAATTCAATAAATAAAATTACTATTATAAATAATTTTAAGTATTCTATTAAAGAAATAAAAACTAAATTTCTAAATATATGTTAAATTAATGTAAATAAATGTCTAAAATTATATATAATTATATAATGTATAAAGTATATAATAATTGTGATATTTATCATAAATTATATGTACAAATTTAATAGATAATAAAATATTATATATTACACAATATTATACATAATTAAACAAATTAAAAACAATAAATAAAATTTTATAGAATAAAAATTTATACTTTTACTGTAAATATGCAAATAAAATCACAATAAACTGTAAAATTATTTTTAAAATTATGTATAATATAAACTTATTTGGGATTAATATTTTATAATAAAGACATTTTTATAAAATAAATAAAAAACAGTATATCTTTTATAGTTTTTTTTTAAATATATTGATATTAAAATATCGCATCTAATCTAAGATTTTTGAATCAAATTTCCAAATCAATCATTAATGCTGTGCTCAGCCTTTCAAATACACATTCATACATACCGTTCCCAATAGGAATGCCTCTATTCATATGATCACAACATGTCAGTGCATGTTATATAACAGTTTTATACTGAAAGTGATTTTTCATGCAATGTTTTCTTACAAATATTTTGTCAATACTTTTATAGTAAAAGTTGCCTTTAATTCCCTATATATTTGTATTTGAAATTTAAGACTTCATAGTAGACTTACAGAAATATTTTTGATTATTTATTTAGAAATATTATTTGAATTTACATTATAAATATCAATATTAAATATAATAATTTTTAATAAAGTTGTATTAAATATAAACATATTCTAATATTTCTATAATAAAGTAAAATAGATTTATAAACAAATTTTTCAAATTAGTTTCCTATTTGAAAGAAATTTAATATTATTTATTAATTAAAATTATTTAATTCTATGAATATTTTATTTTAAAAATATTTGTAATTTTTTATGTATAAGAAAAATAGGGTTTAAGTATAAAATTTTACTTAAATAATAAACGTTAAATTATATTATTATGTAAATATTATAAAGTAATGTTATTTTAATTTATATTTAACTATACTATATTAAATTTTTACTATATTAATTAACTGAAATTGTTGATTATTGTATAATAAACTGATAATATATAGAGTATTTGAGTTAAGTTTAGCACAATTGATGTCACAAAACTATAACAACTTTCATATATTTATACTCAAAATTAATTTTTAGACTTAAAATAAAGACTTTATTTGTTTAATCTAAATGTTTTTTTTGTAATTGAAATGAGACATAATTATGTGACTATAAATTTGGAGCATTTTATAATATAAATGTTATAAAATATAATATATATCACTGGTTATCATTCAAGTGATTTCTGATTACTTTTGATTAAAATGCACTGTCGAAGCTTATGGTTTATTATAATATATTTCATCTAGCTCAAATACACTGTTACATATTAATTTTAATTAAGTGGTATATTTTATTTAATATTATATAAAAAAGGTTATTAAATTTGTGTATTATAATTTTTTTGTTTTTTATCTTGGTCAGTAATTATGTTTTTAAGTAAGGGACCGTATAATAATCGTGATATCGCCTGATATATATCATAAAACATAACTCCAATCGTATAAATACAGTATAAAGCGCTCACTACTAGTAGTACTGTCTGACAGACTAACTGTCCACTACTTCCTCTTTATGTATTCGTCTTAATATATAATATATAAAATGACATTTGATATAAAATATCATAGAAATGAAACAAATATCGTATTAATTTACAATATTGTATATATAATAAATGGTAATTTGATATTCATTAATAATAATATAATCTATGTCGATTTTGTATCTAATTAAATTGGTATGTTAACAAATTAAATTTATTTCAAATATTACAAAATAAATATATACTTTCATATTTTTATTTTTAAATTTTTGTTATTATTAGAAAAATTTTTTTGATATACAGTATGTTATACAAAAAGTATATTCTTTTTATTGTATCATAATTAAAGATTTTTAATATTATAGAAATGTTTAAAAAAATAAAATTACAGAATAATCTAATAAACAAATAGTTAAATACAATGACTTATTAGAAACCCTATTATAAAAATAAACATTTCAATAGAATTAGCATTGATTCAAATCTAAAATTTAAATCCTGTAAAAACTTAATCTTGACTTTCAATTTAGTTTCAAATATATATTTACACAACTTTAACATTGATGTTGTCCTGATTTTTTGCGATAATAAAAACATATATAAATTATATATATGTTGTGTATATGAATAATGGTGTACACTGTATATTGTGTTTGACTTTAATAAAAGTATTGCTATAATAAACACAACAATCGATCGATCGATTTTCACATTATTTCTTTGCCTCAAAAATATATTTCATAGCACTATATCATGTATATAATAATACTGTATAATCTGCAACATTCATGTTATTTTTTATACAGTATATTATATGTACTGTACAAACCAGTACTATATATAAATTTATATAATATATACCGGTATTTGCAATATACGATATATAACTTATATATAAATATAATATACTATATTTATATTTCATATTTATATATAAAAAACATACATTTATGCCATATATTTCAACAAAATAAAGTACCGTAAAATAAAATATTTAGCATTAAATTTGAGCTAATATTTTAGTTATTGCAAATATTTATTGAAATATAAAAAAGTTTTTCTAAAAAAACAATAAAAGTTGTGAATAATTATTTACACAAATATTCAGATTTTCCGGCAATAAATTGTCGCACAGTTTGTATACGAATATATGTTTTATATTTAAATTCCTAACCCTTAAAGGTTTTATCGTATTTAAAACAGACATTGACTTTGCGAAAGACAAACATTTTATATTAAATTCAAAGAGACATAATAGACATAATACACAATCAATATTTATAAGAAAACGACAGTAAATATATCTTTTTTATATAAAAAAAAATCGAGTTGTATAACATATATAACATATATAAATATAAACATTTCATAAATCTTATTTTATTGAAACTAATATACTGAAAATATGCACTCATATACTGTATATGTTTGATATTTTATAGCACAAGTAGTTTATATTAGGTATAGTTCCCATAAGGAATTTTAAGTCCCACTTATCAACACATTTATCAAATTTGTTTAAACAAAAGAGTTAATTATATATAAATATTAAATAAAATTAAACCTTTGCTAAAATATAAACCAATTGGGAATTACTATAATACATAAATGTTATAAATTATAATATATTCAATTAATATTAAAATCATTTGTCATTTTGTTAATTGTATTTAATAAATTATTATTTAATTGAAGTTATAGCTTGAAGCTTGATTTGCTATTTAAGTGACATTGTTATGTTGTATTTGTAATATTTATATAATTTAATCTAAGCATTAATTATATCTACTAAAATATCATTTTTATTAGATATATTTATGAAAATAAAATGATAATTTAAAATTAATAAGTTAATCAATTTTCAGTTAAATACCTGATCGCTCTTTAGATACTGGACTCATAGCTTTAAGTTTAATGCCGGGCTCTCCTATTATGGGAAAGTTATAGCAAATTATAACACTATAGGATATGCATAATACAGTATGTAATTATGATCAAATTTTATGTTGTTTTGTAAATCAATGCTTTAACTTTAACAGCAATTTATATTAAAAATTAGTAAATATTGATATGTAATAAATTATGGTATTATGGTCTGCAATAGAAAGTCAATGCTATTAATACTATTTATGCAAAAGATATACATATAATAATATAATGGAGATTTGCTTTTAAGTCATTGACAGCTTATGTATGTTAAAGAGGTGGAGAAGTCGACAACTTATTTATTGTGAATATGGTTTACGTATTTATAATATAAAAAAAGTAGTGATGGATATGAGTTTCAAATATAGTGATTGCTATAACAACAACAACAACCACACCATCACAGCTGATGCCTAACATAACCAACCGATTCATCGATTCCTTGCGATGACTGCTATAAATGTATTGGTTTTGAGGTAGTATTGCCCTACAGCTCAGTCATCTTTGGGCACTCATATCATAACAAATACTCGACTCTTATATATATTATGTAATGTGTCCGTCAAATGGATGTAAGTATTCACTGGAGACCGGGTATTGACTGACTTTTAGTTACTCAACATTATTGGCCGACAACTCACCAGAAAATGCTAAATGCAATCAAATGTAAAAATGTCTAAAAATATTAAATATATGATATATTTGATGGTTTAATGATATAATAATGTTTTACTGCTATAAAAATACTTTATATATTCGTTTTTTAGGTTATAATCTCTAATAGTATTTTGTCTGATCTATTAAATACATTGTCTTTTTCCTGTATTCCCAACTCTTTAATATTATGATATTATTGTAATATTAGACCACATATTACTTATGTAATAAATTTTTATATTTATTTGAATTATTATAAAATAAGATTATTATTAAATAAAATATTGCAATAATAATAGTGTCGATAAAAAATATTTGAAAACTTTTATAATATTCAACTATAAAAATGTTAGAAAAGTTCGTGTTTTTTCAGGAAATTGCATTTATTATGAATGCTTTAATGAAATAAAAAGTTATTTTCATATTATTTATTATTTAAAAGAATTTAAAAAATAAAACAAGTCTTATATGAGACAACAGTTACGCACCATTTGAACTAAAATGCAATTTCAGATAATTTTCATACAATATTATCTATTATTACTAATAACACATCTTTATATACATTTTATATACTTTATGAATATCATTATAATAATTTAAGTTCACACACACACACACACACACACACACACAATGAGTACATTTTATAATACTATATAAAACTTATTTCCTGTCTTTAAGGCAAATAATAAATTGACTTTTTATTCATCTCTATATTTTCAAAACATTCAAGAATACAAACTAATATATATTTATTTCAATTACAAAATAATATAATAATACAATATAATAGTGTAATTAAAAATCATATAATTGATTCGGATATTTTACTATTATAAAAAATAATATTATTATAATTAGTAAATAAACTTAAACATTACTACTAATAATAATGTGAATCATATAATAAAATTGTTGATAATATATTGTCCTTAGTATTGACAATCAGTTTGAGTGCTGACAAAACAATTTCAATCAATCGTGAAAATAATAGACTCTATTATTAGTATAGAAAGAAAATATAAACATCAATGAAAATAATTAAACTTAAAAATAAGTTTTAAATGTAAGAAAAACAATTAGATGTAATATAATGTGTGTTAAATGAAATTTAAGTGAAATTGATTTTCAATTTTGTTCGTAATTTACAAATAAATCACACAATTTAACTATTGTCTACTCCTTACCATTTATATACAATATACACAGTATACAACTGAGTATATAACTGACTAAACAATTGAATGCAATACTGAAACCTATATCTAAGATAACATCTATAACAACGACTTTTTCCATTAAATACATTGATTTCAATGATATTAAAAATTATTATGACTTTAATTATATTGTTATACAGTATACTATATAAAGATAAATAAAATCTTAAAATAAATGCAATCGAGAGAATCGATTTTGATTGGACTGACAGACAGTTTTGGTAAGGTTTAGGGTTTTGAGTAGTTTTTTGGTTATAAACTCGATTTCAATTCAATTTCATTATTCTGTAAATTAAAATTTCAATCTTTATATTATAAAATATTTTTTGATTTATTTATATTAGAAAAATAAAAACAAAAAGATTTATACAGTCTATTTGTAATTGAGTTGAACATTGGTTGCAACCAAACAAATGACTTTTATTTAAATTAATTATATTTAAATCAAATGAAAGTATAAATAAAATTAGACGTAATTGAAGTATAATCGATAAATTTAGTTGAGATCTTCATTAAAAATATGCAATAAAATTTTCTATAAAAACTAATAAAAATTAATTGTCTGTAATATAATCCTTTATGTTAATACAAATAACATGTAAATTGTACAGCAATTGTTAAAAAATTTATTTATTGTTGTTTGCAAATGAAAACATAGATTATATTTGAGTATTTGATAATATTGAATATATTGATATTTCCAAAAAAAAGTTCAATCAAAAAGATTAGAAATAATTTACAATAAAAAGGGATTTAAATATTTATAAAAGAAATAAAAACTATTTTGACTTTAAAAATATTCTAACATTTGTAAACTGTATAATAATGTGTTTTTAGTTCAAAACATTTTGACATAAACATTGAATTTATATTGATTTAAAATATAAGATCAAAATAAACTATTCAACAAATTTGATATATAAAAATAATTCAGAATTAAAAAAATAGATTATAATATTAAAAATATAAATATTTTCAAAGACTAAAATGAGTTGAGTTTTTTTAGTTGAATATACATATTATAGATATATTTTATATTATACGTGACATAATAAGCAGTCAATAAATGATTTCAATTGAATAAAATATAATACTTTAAAGAAATGGTTGTTTAAATGATTAGAAAGTTATGTTTATTTCAGACCAGAAATAAACCACACAAAAATTAAACCATTTTTTTGCTTAACGTGAATTGAATCCGAGGACAGTCGGTATAAACCATATACAGTATAGTATATTCATAGGTATATATCAACTATTAAATATATAATACTTAATACTATTATATTTATATACAGTACTTATAACTGATATTTATATTATGTGATTGAATTTACTATTTTTTATATTTATAATTTTATACAATAAAAAAAACACATTGTATAATACAGTATTTTTTAATATACAGAATATATAAAAATTTTATAAATTATATATAGTATTTATATAATGTGTTTGTATTAGAATATGTATAATATAATGTCATTTACTGTATAAACAAAACAGACAAACAAAAAGGTTTACTCATAATATATGATTATTTTGTTGTGAGCTATAAATCATAATTATTTTCAATCTATTGAATCATAGGTATTGATATCTAAAATTGTTGTACAACTCATTTGACATAAAAATATTTAACACAATCTAGAATTACATTAAATTTTTTTATACGAAATACTTGATATGATTAATTTATTATAGCCAAAATTATTCACACTAGATTTTTATATTTTTATTAAAAACTTTAAAAGGTTAAACTAAGTTAGAGTTTAGATTTAGGTATATTATGTTATTTGGGAATAATTCTAGATATAATAATTTAATAAAATTAAGTATTAATTAATGAATTTAATAAATATCTAGTTTGTGTTAAATAAATTTGTATCAAATGAAATAAACCTCTAATATTGTCAATAATAGTAATGCTGTTAACTATGTATTTATGAACAAAACAGTGAATGAATTTTGTGATCAAAATTGTTTAAAAATGAAGTATTCATTTGATATTATGCTATCAATCATTCATTGATCAATCGATAACTATTGATAAATAATATTAAAAACTCAAATCTTTTATAATTTGCTAATCATTTAAGTTTTCAAAAATATATATTAGATAAATAATTATTTTTAATTTTATTATTATATACTTCATAATAATAAACTAATGTTATTGTAAAATTATTTTTAATATCTAAGTGCATTAATATGTTAATGTAATGTAATGTAATAAATACTATATATTATATATTTATAACAATATATATATATATATGATATGATATTATATACTGTATCAGTGGATTCAAACTATTCAAAAATGACAATTTTTGATACTTTTAAAGTCATCACTTTTATCTAGAGATGGACAAATAAATATTTATAATAAATTTCTCAGAGAAAGTAAATTTCTCAATAATAATTTTCAAGAAATTTTGCTTAATTATTATATTATGGGATCTTCATATCTAAAGCTATTATAATATTAGTTATACTATAGTATACACCAGGCGATATCACGATTATTATACGGTCCCTTACTTAAAAACATAATTACTGACCAAGATAAAAAACAAAAAAATTATAATACACAAATTTAATAACCTTTTTTATATAATATTAAATAAAATATACCACTTAATTAAAATTAATATGTAACAGTGTATTTGAGCTAGATGAAATATATTATAATAAACCATAAGCTTCGACAGTGCATTTTAATCAAAAGTAATCAGAAATCACTTGAATGATAACCAGTGGTATACACTATATATATATATATACACTGCACTACTATACAAATGCGATCTCTTTATATATAAAATTAATAAAATTTTCTAATTATAATTAGTTTTGTAAAATTTTATTCATTATTCAATCATATTTTAAGCTTAATGTATTTAAATTGATTTATTATTATTTTGAAAATAAATTAAAATACTAAATAACAAATATCGAAATAACAAAATTAGAATGGGACATGGGCATCCCATAGACAGAAATTTCTTTGAGAAACTTTCTAGAAATTTCTCTTTTTTTTGCAAACTCTACTTTTATTTAGTAATATTTATGTTTTATTTCCCTATTTAAATAACTAATGTTAAAGTGAA